CTTGAATACCTACAAAAATGAGATAAAATCAACTAAAATCAATGATATTTATATAATAACGCAATAAATACACTATAATGTAAACTATACCGAATATACACTAAAGTTGAGTTTTATTGACAAAAAGCAAACAAATTAAGCTGATGATCGCTAATTATTCACACTCAAATTCACAACAATTTAGAACTCATCAATTTAGGCGGTTTAATGTGTAACTTAAATGAAGTCGCGCTTAGCACGCCAGACCCGCTTAGCGTGGTATGCTGATTTTGCAATTTATATTCTTTTGTAATTCATTTATTAGGGTGATGGAGTTTTGGGTATTTTTGTCCCAACTTCATCACCTTCCATTCTTTGATGATTGAGTGTAGAAAACAATAATGGAACTTGTATCTTGATGATCCGGAATCAGATTTATCATCAATCAAAGTGAACAAACTGAAAGATGTTTGGTTCTTCTTCTTATTCTCTTCTCTTTGTATTCTCTATTTGTTGGAGTTCGTATGTAATTTTACCTTGATTATATGTATATTTATTGCTCATAATGTTGTATAAAACCTCTTTTTTAAATCAATATTGATGATTTCTTACTTTGTTTGGGTTTGAGTTACTACAGACATGTACAATTTGAATCTGGACTTAAGATGAACATCTATTAGGTTTTAGATTATAGGAATAGATTTAGGCTTAGTATTCACGTGGATATCGGTTCTTAATGCCTCTGTTTTGTTTGAGTTGCGCGAGATATCGCCTCCGAGAGCAATACACTTGATATCTCTCTCAGTGTTAGAGATAACCTATGTGTGGGAGATGCGTGATGATGTTGACAAGTGATTTAGGTTTGTACAACAGAGTAACACGTTTAAATATTTGATAGGGTAGATGAAATTCAAACCCAAAAAAGTTCTCTTCTCCCCAAATAATGTATTTATTTTCCTGTTAATACCTTTTACATTCAACCCAATTCAACCCTAAGCTCATAACCACGGAAAGTGTTGAATGGCATTCTTTCCCTCGCGCCGATCTCTCTGGATACGATAAAACTTGGAATACTTCCCATCTTTTGCTTTCCATTTTACCGTGTCAACAAAATGGTGTCGTTTCCAGGGATTGGTGTTTTGATATTGAATTACATCACAATAGGTTATATGGTTTTGGGCTTCATATATAACGCATATATTATGTATTTTTCACTTGTAAATTGACTTGTTTATGTTTACTATACTTGTATAACATATACTTGTTTGATTTATACTTGTTGTATGTTTGTTTTCCACACTTGTCATGTATGTGTTTTTGTTGTGTTCAAGTGTGTGTATATATGTGTTGTGTTTCAATGTTGTTCAAGTGTGGTTGTATATACTTATTTTTCGTTTACATTTGCTCAAGTGTTTCCCAGATTATTGGTAGATGCTAGTGAACGAAGCAACATGGAGGAGCATGTGTGTGTAAATAAAGGTGTCAAGCTAACGACATAAAACAAGCACTTATTGGGAGGAACCTTAGCCATTGTAAATTTTGTATATTTTGTAGCTAAGATGTGTAGGTGTTAGTGGAGGTTGTGCATGAGAAATCAGAGGTTGTTCTGATTTTTCTACATTTTCATGCTACCACTTAATGTGGCCAGGCCCGCTTAGCGCACCCTATTTTTTCTCCAGCCGCTTAGCATGCTATGTCCCGCTTAGCACTCTTAGATGTTTGCCAATGATATTTTTTCTTCACTTGGCCCCCCATTTTCCCACTTTTAATAAGGCTTTAGAGTATTAAATAATAGTAGTATTAATTTCTAGTTCTTTTGTTGTTGTTTGGACTCAAATTTTGGTCTGTTAGCTTGAGGTCGCTTTTGGTTATTTTCCAAGATATATTATTTCAACTTGAATATGTATGGTAATGATAGTGTTTCAAAGTTGGTACTTACCAGGTACTCGTTTATCGCTTTCTATAGCATAACATGTTTAGGAAACTTTTCATTGCTATAATTACCATACAATTCATTCTTTTGTATTACTTGTTTATGGTTGAATCACTTTAGTTCCTTTTTACCCCCAAATGTGAGGAAGTTTTCCATTGTTCACTATATGCAGGACACCAACATTCTTGTTTTAACAAGATTTTATTATGTTTAATCTTTTACTTGTGTTGATTGTATGAAATCATGAAAAGAATCAAGGCACCTTGTTTCATTTTGAGCACAACTACCTAATCAAATAGTCAATTCATCCTGTGAGTGTGTGAACATTTGTTAACCTCTTTGAGCTTTTGTAAATATCCATGTTTCATTTAAACTTAATGCTTGTCTATGATTGTTTGGTTCACCCTTTTTGAATTGATTTTGATTCTTTTTGTTCACACTTCGATGTTGGTTGAATTCAAATTGAGGAGAAAAATGTTGACTTACTTATTTGTTTGGTTGCTATGAGGTTGAGAAAAATTAAAAAAGAAAAGAAAAGAAGAAAAAAAAAGAAAGAAAAGAAAAGAAAAAAGAAAGAAAAAAGATAAAAGTTTTGAAAAATAAAAACAAAAAAAAAAGAGTTTCAAATAATGTTGTGTTAATAAGTTATGTGATTGGTGTGATAATTTGGGAATTGAAGGTACCGGCGTAAAATCATCAAGAGTGAATCAATGAAGTCACCATCGAGTATTTATTTATCCCATAGGAAGGGAAAGGAAAATCATCAAAGAAAAACCTGAGAAGGGAGAATTTGCGATCTTACGACCGAGAGATTAGGTACGGGAGTCGATTATGCAAGGGGAAGGTATTAGCACCCCTCACGTCCGTGGTACTCCACGGGATCCACTCTTGTTGTTCTAAACTAAAGGGTGTTTATATCTAAATGCTAATCAAGATAAATGTAAAATGCACGCAAAAGAAAACACAGGGAAAAGAAAGAATATTTACAAAGTTTCCTCGGTTGAGCCCCACGATCAAATGCATATGTATCCTTTTTAAGGAATCAGAGAACCGTAGTTCGGCTCAATAGTTTTCGTTTGTTTTGTATTTTTATGGATAATTCCGTATTCGAATCCTTATGGTTAGGATTTCAATTCGTTTTTTGCATTGTAACTCGTAAAGAGACTCATGCTCAGTCCCTCGCACACTTAGCTTTTCCAAGTTGTTCGAATTTGAAACAACACATCCTTATTGAAAAGGTTTTAAAAGAAGGAGAAAATCCAAAGACAAAAAGGTTTGCATTGGTTTGTGTTTTTTTTACCTTGAAAAAGAATTTGATAATTTTTAAATGTTCTATGCATTTTCCAAAGAAAAAGGTTTTAGTTTTAGTTATACAAAAGGGGAAGAGAAAAAGTCTAAAGGGGACTAACCTATTTCTATCCTTAGTGTTATCATACAATGATGGCCATAAAGTTGAGGTTTCTTTTGAAAGGGAAATCTCTACCTATGTTAGCATGCATGGATAACAATCCTAATGTCTAACTTGAATCGGAAACGAAACAAGTGATTATTCCTAAGGGAGCATAGTAAAGGTTCAAAACCTAAAGAACACACACACACACACACACACACACACACACACACACACACACACACACACACACACACACACACACACACACACACATACACAAGTGCGATCACACAAAGTCAAAACCAAAACAAGCAAATAATGCTTGAGGAGTATCTACTCACTCAAGTAGCACACACCTAATCGAGGTAGCATGACACCAAGATAGGATAAGGAAAGGGATACCTAACCGCGATATTGTATCATCGAGGTAGGATAAGGGAAGAGGGATACCTAACCGTGATATCAAATCATCAAGGTAGGATAAATGAATACTTACCTAAGACATCGAATCGTCGAGACAAGAAAAATGGGGGAATAGTGGCTCTTAACCGTGATATCAATGCATTAGGGAAAGAAAGAAAGGGGTGTCCACTCTTAACCAAGATATTACATAATCGAGACAAGAGAAGAACAAAAGTGAATCGTCATAAGCGACTAAACACCTGACCAAGATATCAAAAATCAAGGTAGGAGATAGAAGGCAATAATGAGATCACATCAAAGCGTCAATGTTTCACAAATGCGAGCTAAATACAAAGTGTGGGGGGTTGGTTACAGATCCTTGTATTCCACTTGATCGACTCGATAACATGAGCAGCACAGTTCAAAGCATCAACGCATGGCGCGAGCTAGGAACGATAAAGACAAGAAATGGAGGGGTCGATTACCGACCCTTTATCGCCTTGCCTCTTTTTGAGGACTTATCAACGGGGAATTAGAATGGGATGCCTTTATCGAGGTCTTTGGCACAAATGTAAATATTCCAATTTGTAAACAAACACAAGTAGGAATTGCATTAAACAAGTCTTTAAATAAACCATATTTTCCTCAAAGGGACTCCTAGAACATGCATCTATATCCTACTTCTCATATCAAGGAAAGCAGTAAATAATGCGGAAAAAATAAACCAAAATTAGTATAATACCAAACGAACAAGAGTTCGTAGCAAAGTAAGCAAAGCAGAGAAACCCTGAATACTTCACGCGAGCTAACATCAACAAACAAACAGTCAGAGATCGAATGCTCAGAATAAGTGTCGAAGCATCATCAATGTAAAAATAAATCATAATCGGAAACTCAAGCATATCCGTATATCACATAATAAACCTACATAAGACTCCAAACTCAACAAGTAAAAGTGAATCACAAATCTCAAGTAATCGATTAATCACGAATAAAATAAATCTTCATTGGATTTTTGTAATCTTTTATCACTAATTTTTATTAAGAAATTTGGAAGAAAATTAAACCAAAATAAAAACTAAATCAAAATAAACCAATAACATAGTCCAAGGAGTTTTTTCTTCACAAGAAACCAAATCACAAAAAAATGCTAAGCCTTAGGAAGAAGTGTTTTTCAGTCCATCAAAAATTATTTTCAATTTTTTTATTACTCATCATATTTTTATTATTAATTTTCTAGTTTATATAAAAGAAACAAATTAAATTGTTGAGAGAGGAAAAAAACAAATTGAAATGAAAATGAGAAAATTAGGGTTGAGTTTGGGTATGACGATTAGGCTTCTAGGAGAACTCAGAGTTCTTTTTCCTCCTTTTCATCGACAGTGCACGATCCCTCTCCTTCCTCCACTCCTCTTCTACTTCTATTCAAGTCTCAACCTTCATCTTGCTGCTTTTATTTCACTCGGTATCCATGGTTCCTCTGTCTACGACCGATTCTCCGTCATTAGCGTTGCCGTTGTGATGCAATTTTGATTTCCTTCCTCCATCTCAGCACCACGATCATCATCATCTATGAATTCCTCCTTCGACGAGACATCACCGTCTTCGCCTTTTATCTTTGAACGCGCCATGAAACCAAGCGATCTCGCCTTTCTCATCTCGGACTTCCATTCAAACTGCTTTAGCAATTTCGTTCTCTTGCGGTTTGTAGCAACTTCGTGCGAACAACGATAACAACCAGGAGATAATAAACAACAACAAAAATGTTTACACAAGAGTGAGGAAGGATAGAGCGCTTACTTATCGAAGTCGCTCTGATGGCGTCTTAAACGACTACGAAGCTGACAAGAACCAGGGAAATTCGTAGAATCTGGTAATAACTTATGCTTCTTCTACTTTTACTTCTTGAGTTTTTTGACTTTGATTCGTGAATTGTTGCTGTAATATGTAGAAACTGATGATAATGTTGAAGTTTGAAGATATCATGGATATTCAAAGAGTGGTTACAAAGAACATTGAAGGGAATGGTGGTGAAGGTTGAAGATGGTTCTTGTGTGAGTTTAGAGAGATAGAGAGAGAGAGGTGAATATTTGTTGCTTTTCAAGCGTGTTTGTCTTTGTTGCTCTGAAACCATGGCTTACAATTGTCTTCTTTCCTTCTTCTCCTCTTCGTGTTTCAACTTTGGTTACTAAATGAAATGAAACAAAGATGAATGCGCTTGAAGAGAAACAAATACTCACCTTCATCTATCTCTTATTTCTTATCTCTCTGAAACCAGAGTTTGCAATTGTCTTCTTTCCTTCTTCTCCTATTTGTTTTTCACCTTTGGTTACTAAATGAAATGTAACTAGGCTTCAAAGTGTATCAAGCTTTTCATTTCAAAAACTAATAAATTCAAAATATTAAAAAAAAAACATGTGAGATAACACAATACCACCTAGACTCCCGCATATGAAAAAGTTAAAAAAATTCTCATTATTTAATAGAAATGATTAAGTGGGATAACATAACTATTTTAAGGGACTAATATGTAACATTTAAGGGACTTAAGTGAAACATTAAATTAAGTTAATATACCAAACGATGCATTAATATAAAAAATATAAGATCCCCTAATAACAAAAACTAAAATTGTTTACAAAATAACTTTGTAATGGTTAAGAGGTGTGATTTTTAATGGGGTAAAGTATAAGTTTCGTGATTTTGTAGAAACAAAACACATATTTAGCTCGGTACTAGAAAAAGTACACCAATGTAACTTTACCAAGGATTGGTAAAGTCTCAATAGTATTGGTAATGAGTTGTGTATCTCTTCATTCGTCTATGATCATAAGTTTATAGAATACTTTTGATATTATATGTGTCGCGGTGAAAAATTAGGAGACCAAGCTATTGACTAACTTGACTCACAAATTAAGAAGTCTCCAGCGAACTTTATTATTTCCAAGGAAAGAGGAAAAGATCAAAACCCTATATTTATCATGCAATCCAAGAAGCAAAAACTAAAAGCAAAGAACAAAGGAGAGATCTAAGGTATGAGAGTTGGTTATAAAAATAGAAGGTATTAGCACCTTATGTATCTATAATACTCTATAGGAACCTCTTTTAATATCTATTTTTGGCTAAAATAGGTTGTTTGCTAAAAGAGTGTGGAGGTGGAGGAAATGTATTTTTATTATATTTTTGTTTGGAAATGCATATAGTCTTATACCTACGTATCAATGAAGGATCAAAACCTCGTAGTTCGTGGTAAAAATAACAAAAAAGATTTGTGGGTTGATTTTAGGATAAGAGACAAGTTATCATCTTAAGGAGAATACTCAACTAATTCCACCACAAGTATGAGAAGGTGGGTCTTTCATCATTATGATAAATGAGTTCTTAACTTGGATATAAAATCAACAAGTTTTCCACTAGCTTCCTCAAGTGGAAAGAATCACATTTACTTCAAAAATTATTGTCGGGATAGGATGATTGTATCTCAACTATGGAGATAAATTATGTCTAATCTCTTTGAGAAAAGATTTTAAATTGAAAAGCCTAGTGGCAAAAGGATTTGGGTGAGATTGAATCTATTTTATTCTTTTGAAATTGTTTAATATGCTTAAGTGTATTGAAGCATTTATTAAATAAGAAAGTTTGAAAATGTAATGACATAAAGTCAAGGTTTTTTATATGAAAGAAGTTCAAGTTTTAAATTAGGGTTTAAAGGTACAAGGGTGAACATTTACAAAGGGTGATATACAAAGGTAAACACATAAAGATGAACATAAGACAATCATATGCACATGACTATCAAGTCAACAATACAATTTCTTTCCTTGGATTTTGACATAAATACTAATACAATGAGGTAGAAACATCAACCATTATCACATAAACATTTAAAGGGTTGATATTAAAGAAAAGAATATGCAAGCTTCATGGATTAGTGTTTCACATAGTTAAACAAGGCATTAATCAAAACCTCATACACATGGTAAGAACAAAATCCTAATGAGAATTATCAAGAAAAAGTAACAAGTCATATGAATCAATTATATCCATGGTATTAACATCACTTAATCATAGTATAGAACTTCAAAATTCACACTTAAGTAAATACATTAAAGTATCATGGTATTAAGAAAGTCATTTAATAAAAATATTCACAAAGGATTTAATTGAAAGAAATATCAACATTTAAACAATTTAAACAAAGGAACTAATTTTTTGGTTTTTTAATAATAATTAATATATTAAACAAAATATAAAAATATAAAAATCAAAGATGAACAAAATATTTTGTTGTTTTAAAATATTGATTTTTTTGACACAATAAAATCAAGAGAGAAAGTAAAATAAATAAATGAACTAAAACTAAAAGGAAAATAAAAGAAAAAAGACATAGAAACAAAACAGAAAGAAAATTAGTGTTTAAAAAATAAGGAAAGGTGACCACAAGGGTTGAACTCACGCCCTCAAGGTTGCTGCATAAAATACTAGCCTCTGGGTCACACACTATGGCTTGACATAACATGCATTCACAATAATAAATATAAAACCAAATGTTGAATGGTTTTAAAAAATAAGCAAAAGGTCTAGGGCGACGGGATTTGAACCCCAGACCTTTTGCTACACACAAATAACAAATACCAGCGCATGACCATTAGGGTGCATTACCAATTCGTTAATAAAATGACTTCAACTAAATATATTATAAACTAATATTTTAAATCAAATTTTCGCGCCAGACAACCATCATCTTCAACCTTGAGACATCATCCATTGTTCAAAATCGTGTTTCTTCGTTTCTCAACCAAATTAAAAAATGTAAAAAAGCTAAGTTGCTTGAAATTTCACAAGGATTTCATAAATGTGCTTAAAGTTAATTTATATCCAATGTATCAAACAAATTTCAATCAAAACCAGAAACCCTAAGTTTTTTCATAGTTAAATTAAATTTCATACAAGCTCAACCAATGCCTATTTTCACAGGGCTTCAGTTTATGAGACTCAAAACAAACACAATGGTGTCAAGAAATGCTTAAAATGATGCTTATGAAGCCTCTTGTGAATTTTCTCAAAATGAATCGTGAAAGTGAATCCCCTCTCAATTATGTTTGAGTCCTGTTATATAACCGATTAAGACTATTAAAGTTAGTTACAAATATGTGAGTCTAAGCCTTCGGATTGAAAGTAAGTTACAACCAATTGAAGGGTCGAGATTGAATCCTAGTTTAACTTGCAAAGTTTCCTTCTGCATCTAATTATCTGATTTCCTAATTTTTTTTGCCTGTGTCTCTTTCTCTGATTTTTTATTTAACTTTATGCTTTGATAATTCCCTGATTTTAATCTTTTTCCTAAGTTAGTAATTTTGTTTTGATTAGGGAGTTTCCCCCTGAACTTCTGTTATGTGCTTGTTTAGGTTAGTTTATACATGGTAAACATTGGTAATTTGAATGTTAAAACTGTCTGGACTTTGGATACATTCTTCTGACTGAGTTTAACTGAATGAGCAAGGCTATTTGTATCTTGATATCTGGACTGGCTTACTGAGTTTGTGTAGGGGTTATTTTATGAACCGGTTTTAGCTTGAATTGTGACTGGCTTATGGCATGATAAGAACTACTTTGAACTGTTCTAGGATAGTTGGATTGATTCCTTGGTAAAGCTTGTTTGAAGCACGTGGAAACCAAACCTTCGGACACGTTTACAGTGATATGGAGACATGGAAATTTGCATTGGTTTCGTATCAAGCTCCGCAAGCATTGGACAATCTGAACTTCAATGTAAAATCTTGGCTCAAAAATGAGATTTGGTGTAGGCATTTGATTAAAAAGAAATGCGTTTGGCATTGAAAGGCATGGAACTTTTCATAACTCCCATGAGAGAACAAGGATGACTTTAGGACCACAGACATGCTTGTAAAACTTAACCACTTTATTTGTTGTACTATTGAATAAACTTGATCTTGATGATTCTTGATGAACTGATATGGACGTTAAAAACCCTTGATTGAATGTTGACTTGTAAAAATGAACTTGAAATTATGAATATGAACTCTTGACAATCTTGAATTTCCTTTTGAAGTATGAATATCTCTTGAATAATTTTGGTAGAAGTTTGAACTTTGGATAAGGCCTTGAACTCTAAGAAACATGATTTCTTGAATCATGAATCATTTAGACTTTGAAATTCTTGTACGAGATTGATGTATCCTGAATTCCAAACACGGCACATGAGTGAGCCTAAACTTTTGAATCAATTCTTGAGAAAATTGAAATGCATTTGAATTAACGACTTTGCATTCAACACAAACCATCAATCTTAAAGCAAACTCTTCACAATAATGAATCCATTCTCTACTCCCATCTTCAAACTCAAGTCAACTTCTAAACAATCAAGAAATTGAAAAGATAACAAGGTCTTGATTATAAAGAATCCTAAAACTCCTACCATGTTGTATACTCGCTCTTCAATCAACAAAATATCTTGTTGAAAACACCCAAAGCCACACTTAATTATTTAGCGAGTCTCACCACAAGAAGAGAACCATGATTCAATCTTCTAGACTTCTTGAAATGAAATGACTCGTAGAGCAAGTAATTAAGGGAAACTCTACATGATTGATGCACTTGAAATAAAGAAAGAACAATGACCTTTGGTGGCCTTGAGGAGAAATTGACCTCAATGAACCATTTTGAATAACCAACACTAATGTCCAAGCACTTTCATAGGAGAAACCCCCTAACTTTCTGGATCTTGAGTGCATATTTGTGGAGAAGGCTTGAGATGTTTAGAGAAGTAATACTCTATCTCAAGAACCATCAATTGTAATCATGATGAAATCTTGAGTACATAGGATAAACCCTAATAATGCACTTGTTATTTGAGGAATTTTTTATGAAGACAAATTTGTATCTTGAGGAATTTTGCCAAGAAAAATGTTTGTGATGCTTGTAGATGACAGAGGATCTTGGGGGGGGGGGGGGGG